AAGCCAGGGTGCCGCACCGGGGGGACCCACTTTTAACAAGGGTCAGCAATGGGAGGAGGGGTCAGAGAGGAGTGGGGTTTGGAGGGAAGGGCGGTGCGAGGGCAGGGCCTCAGGGGGAACGGGCAGTGGGAGGGCAGGGGCTCAGGGAGAAGGGGTGGTGCAGGGGCAGGGCCTGGGGGACGGCATGGCGTGCGGGGGCAGGGCCACAGTTTGGGCACCTGTGGTGTCCCCCCCCCACTTTTAAGGTGCTTCTGCCGCTCCTTAACCAGGCTTTGCATTAATTGCTTACAGCCAGCGGGAAAGCAGTCTGAGCCCCACTCGCTGACGAAAGGGCCAGCTAGGGATGAGGATGCGGATGCGGTATTATTTGTATTGCGGTAATGTCTAGGAGCCATGGACCAGCCCCCATTACGCTAGGCACTGTACAAACACCGCCGTGTTGTGTGTTGGGGTTGGAAAGGTCAGCACAGAGCCAAGGGTAAAACATTTTTTTTCTGGGCATCGATTAAAAACAATCCTGAGCCAATTGCACACGCAGCGGGGGGGGGGGGGGAGAGGGGGGAAACCGAGCAAGGCCTTTTATCTGTGACCATGAAAGAAAAGCAATTCTACATAACAGAGCGAAGCTCAGGGCTAAATATAGTTCCTGTGCGTTTGATACCTACTGGACAAAGAAGGGGCTCCTACCCGCACTGCTTGAGAGGGGAATGAGGAGATATACTTCTCTTAACCCCTTCGTTGCAGGCAGCTGCGTCTGGGGGCAGAGGCTTTCCCAGCAGTAGCGTTTCTCAGGACAGGCCGTTCAAGTGCAAGGAACACCAGAGTGTATCAGCTGTGCTTGGCAGGGCTAAAGGGGGGAGCAGGATTAGGGGGATGTTTCAGTCACATGAAAGTGGTTTAAGTGGAAACCTGCGGTGTAACCCTTCTGCCAGTGGGAGTGGGCAGCAAGAAAGGCCACGTTCATTATCTCAGGAACAATATAACCAAAACTGGCTCAGGCTCCCACCCACTAACCTGGGAAAATTTCACTTTCCCCTCTGAGCACCCCTAAGAGGCAATACTTCCCCTCTCGCAAGCACAGGGGCTGAGGTAGAAAGAGTTTCTTTAATAAAAGGAACCGAGCATTAATCTGAGCCAACAGCCCAAGCCGTATTCATAAACATAAAAGCATGAGTGCAACACACCCTCCCCAGAGTATGCTGGGCAGTGGCCTTCGCTTCAGCTTCTTGAGTCCAACACCCACGTTCTTGTAGCGTGCCGCCCCGCAACGCGCCGTGGCTGTGCCTTGTCGGCTCAGAGCCAGCGTTCATAGGTACAGCTGCAGGAATTCTCCCTGACTGGTGCCGAGCGGCTCCGACTCACGCATGCTTGGGGCAGGCTGCACGTTGGGGGAGCAGGAGGCCAGCTGACTGGGTGTGTGGCCAGGTATATCTGCGTCTCTGGGCTCAGCACAAAGCAAAGAGAATTTTACATACCCATGTGCATGTAGCGTGAAACGGGCTCCCAGGTGCAGAGTCCCTGCCCCACCAGTCACCTCCTCCCCTCTCCCACACGCAGCAATGCACCAAGGCCCTTTACTTGCTGCGTCCAGGCCTTTCTCCTCCCCCCATTCCATCCATCCTCTCTTCTTGCTGAGGCTCCCTGTCTCCGGGCTACCCCATCCTAGCAGATTAGGTTGGGCTGAGCAGGCTCTACCTGCTGCTGCTGCTTCTCTTACCGTGCCCTGGGTTCCTCCCCCTGCACCCGCTGGGTACCTCACTGGAAAGTTGTGGGGAGGGCAGGTGCTGCCTGGGTGTCAGTCAGGAGCCTTAGCCCATCTCCCCCTGCCCTGCCTGAATGCCAAGAAAGCTGGAGTCTCCTTGGGGAGGCCTGAAATCCAGAGTCTTTAGCCCAAAGCTGCCACAGGTTAGGCAGGTGTGCAATCAGGGCACCCTTCCCTGGGCACTGCGCTAGTGCCCAGAGCCTGGAGGGGGGACCTTTTCGAAGGGGCAGCGAGTGTGGCCATTGAAGTATCCAGCATCCCCAGCAGCATCATGGCTGTCTCTTCCCTATGCAGTGTATCACCTGCAGCCACTCCCAGGCAGGTGCCCCATCCCGCTCACCACACCTCTGTTTGTGGGTGTGGAGTGCTGGGGCAGCCTCCCGCGTGAGTGCCACCCCCTTTATGGGCTGCTGCATGAAGAATCGGGCAGTCGCTTCTCCACCAAAGCCCCACAGACCTTTACCTTGTGAGTGATTATAATAAATCAGGATGCAAACGGAGACAACACCCTTCTAAACCCAATAGCCCTAAGATTTAACCTTCCCCTGGGTTTCCCACAGGTAAGGTATGTTATTATTTCTGTTATCATAGCTCTTAGGTGCCCTACTCATTGACTCAGCCCTCCACTGTGCTCTATAGCCCCTACCCCAAAGAGCTTACAATTTGAATATAAGGCCAGCGACACCAGCTGGGCAATAGCAACTGGCAGCACGGACCAATCGGAGGCGGGAGCTGATATTTCAATTCTGAATAAGAGAGTGTGTCCATGTCACTTCGACGTCAAGTTATAAATTACTTGCTGCATGGACTGTGTCTTCTTCCCTGCTCCGCGCCATATTGTAGGTGTCTCACAAACTATGAGGCTCAGCCATAGAAACAGTGATGTTTTGGATGGGAAAGCAGCCCTCTGATAGCCAGCCACTAGAGAAGGGATGGTCCCGTGGTTGGAGTGCTACCTGCCACCCTAGGAGACTTGGCTTCAAGTCCCTGCTCCACCAAACTTCCTCGGGTGACTCGCTTAAGAATTTCTGTTCCGGGGTGCCCATCTGCAAATTGAAGCTGAGGGCACTGTCCTACCTCCTAGTGGTGTTCAAAGGGAAATACTAGGTGAGGTGCTCTGATACCCTTTGGGACAACAGGGGCCATATAAACACCTTTGATTGATGGTTCTCCCTCTCCTCTGGGTGTCAAGGCAGGATCATTTCCTCTTGGGCATTTAGTTTTAAGTCTCTCAAGCGATGAGGTTTCCACCCCCTCCCCAGGGAGACTGTTTCACAGCTTATGTCTCATCCCCAGAAGGGCTTTTCCTTGATACTCCACCTACATTTTCCCTTTCCTAACCTAGGATCATAGAATATCAGGGTTGGAAGGGACCTCAGGAGGTCATCTAGTGCAACCCCCTGCGCAAAGCAGGACCAGTCCCCAATTTTTGCCCCATATCCCATGGCCCCCTCAAGGATTGAACTCACAACCCTGGGTTTAGCAGGCCAAAGCTCAAACCACTGAGCTATCCCTCCCCCTGAACCTAATCCCTTTGCTTCCAGTCAGATGCCCCTGTAACAACCTCAGCAATTCCCATTCTTCTACAACCTTTGCAGCCTTCAAACATTCACTGACGATGATCATCCCCACTGGGCCCAGCCTCGCAGGTCTCACTCACAGGAGTGCTCCGACTGAAGTCAATGGACGATGCAGGGGAACAAGAGCTGCTGAATCAAGGCTTTAATCACCATCTCTGAGCCAAGATATATGTATTCAGCCCTTCCAACCTTTCCTCACAAGTCATTTCATTCAGCCACCTCTGTCTTTCCTTTGCTATGCCCAAATTCCTTTCAGGTACAGTTAATGAGGTGCCATAACAGAAGAGATGGCTGGGGCTATGGAGTAGGGCACTGGATTGGGATTTGGGAGATCTGGATTTTGTTATCAGCTCTGCTACTGTCCTATTGGGTGACCACCGGCAAGACACTATGCCTCTCTGTGCCCACCCTTTGCCTGCCTCATCATTCAGCCTGTCAGCTCTTTGGGGAAGGGACCATTTCTCACTATCTACATTTGTACAGCACAATACCCCCCACCTGGGGGCCCTATGTGCGCTATTGTAATTCAGTAACTCCTGACTTAAAGTCATCCTGGTTATTAGCATTGTTTCGTTGCTGATCAATTAGGGAACATGTTCATTTAAAGTTGCACAATGCTCCCTTATAACGTTGTTTGGCAGCCGCCTGGTTTGTCCACTGCTTGCAGAAAGAGCAGCCCGTTGGAGCCAGCTGGTGGGGGCTTGGAACCAGGGTGGGCCAGCATCCCCCCATCAGCTCCCCGTTCCCCATAGTTCCCTGTGCAGCAGCCACCCAGAAGGCTATAAATTGCCGGGCAGTTCAGCTGTCCATGGGGGGTGGGGGGGGGGGGTGGGGAGAGACACAACGGGGCTCAGGACGGAGAGAGCTTGCTGATAGCAGCTGCTGTCTCAACTTCCTGATCTACTTAAAAAGGCAGTGTACTTAGAGTGCGGTCAGCGTACTTAAAGGGGCAATGCGCATCTCTCTGCTTTGTAGAGTGTGAGGCTACATTAACAACGAGTTAACCCTTGGGGGCTCAGCCGAGTGCTAGTTCATCATTCAGCCGCAAGGCATTCCCTGGGAAATATCCCCCCCTCTGACTTCACCACCTCAACCAAGCTTCACAGTCATCATTGCTGTGTACAGTATTAAATTGTTTAAAACTTATACTGTATATATATATATATATATATAATATAGTCTTTTGTCTGGTGAAAAAATTTTTCCTGGAACCTAATCCCTCCTATTTACATTAATTCTTATGGGGAAATTGGATTCGCTGAACATCATTTCGCTTAAAGTCGCATTTTTCAGGAACATAACTATAATGTTAAGCGAGGAGTTACTGTCCAAAGAGAAGGTCTAGCTAGACCAGATCCAGATAGAGTAGGACTTACTCCCAGCTCTGTACCATATACACAGCCCCAAATTACACCCCTCTATTCTGCAGCCACCTCATCCTTCAAACCCATCTGTAATTTACCACCCACTCTCAGCCCTGCGTCTCTTTCAGCTCCATTGCTTTCCAAGCTCATGCTTCCCATTGAAGAGCTCCAGTCTGGAGCCTGCATGGGGGTTTGTGTAACACAGACAGCGGGCTGCAGCTTTACCCTTTCCAATATAATGGCAGTTGGTCTTGGTGTACAGTGCCACTCACACTGAAGGAAGGAGGCAAAGCAAAGGGGTTGAAAGTGTCTTTTATTCAAAATGAATAGTTTGAAACATGATACATCAGTGATCATGTGACCCTCCCCCTCCAAAAAAATTAATATTAAACAAAATGCAAACATTCCCCTCTGGTTTTGGTTAGTGGGAGTGATGTCCATTTGGAAAAAGGCAGGGCCAAGTTTCATACACACAGAAATAAGAGAAGTCAGGAGAGAAACGCTATTTGCAGTAAAGGAGCTCTGCCCAGGTTCTTAAATGAAAGTTTAATCATCATCATCTACTCTTCACGTAGATAGCAGTTTTGAAATTTGACAGCCAGCGTTGCAGCAGAAACATGTACTGGGGCTGGATTGGTGGCATAAGTGAATTGTGTTGTTTTGCCCCAGATGTATGTCATGTTTTTTCCGCAGCACTCAGCTGTAAGTGAAACGTGTCATGTTAAAATAGAAAATGCACCCTGCACTGTAAATAAGCAACTGGTCAGGGCCCCAAGTGATTTTTCTGGACTGTTATTGTGAATCAGAGAAAGAGCCTTTCTTCTCACTTGACCAAAAATATGGCCCTCACCCGAGTAAGGTACTTCAGCCTGGGCCTAGCTTTAAGCCAATAAATAGTCCCATTAAAGACAAGTGCATGCTTTGATACCTTGCTAAATCCTGGGCATGGTGCATTCTCTGGGCTACATTCTGTTCTCACTTTCACCAGTGTTGAATAACTCCAGCGTCAGCTGGGCTATTCCCTAGTCACACAATGGAACTGGGAGCAAAACTGCCTCTCTTCTTGCCCTTCGCTCTGTTGATCTTCCAAAAGAAAATGGCACAGGGAACTTCCCCTTATCCTGTGGGAGAAGGATCATCTATAGGCCAGCCCTAAAGGTACATCTTTCCTTGTCTGCAGAGCTCACGAAGGAACAAAACCCTCCAACAAACCAAACAGATCTATGTTTTACAACGGACTATTTATACATCAAGCCCTGATCCCTGAGAAATTAGATGGGGGTGTAGGGTAGGGTGGGAAGGAAAACAAGCCTGATTTTTTGAGGTTTTTACATTTTAAAAAGAGCAATTAAAAAGGCCTTGTGACTCAGATTTAATTTTATAGAACATCAAGTGTGAAAGTAACCTACAACCTACATTCATCACTGCTGATGCAACTGTTCCCACAAAGTTGTTGCAGACGGACCTAGGTAGTTAAAATTCCCTTTATTCTCCCAAAGCTATTTCAGTTAACAGGAGAGTTGCGTTGTTTCTTCAGTAATTAAGAGAGTTAGAAAACTGGTTAAAATGAACATTAGAATCTGACTTGCAAAGGCATGTGCAGATTTATAGCACTGTGCAAAACCAATACAGTAGTGCAGGATTAAAATAAAATAATAATACAAACATAATCTGAGCCACCCCTGCATCAGGCCCAACTGCAGCTCAGCCACTCCCAGAGGTAGGGCTAGACAGACATTTGGGTGGCAAATCTGAACCAGTCCACCCAACTCCATCTCAACAGGTATTTCCTTGACCCTGGGTTTTGTGCAGTTACCCACCTTACAAGCCTAGAACAATCTATGTCACTTCATCCCTTTTAGTGGTACAGTAAGTAGAATTCAAGCTACGGGACATTCCAGTGTGGAACCCTTGCATTCGGAAAGGATCCGAATCAATCCATTCCCAGTCCCTCCTAGTTCAGAGCTGGGATTTGTGCAGCTGAAGTCTTCAGGCTCACACTGAAAGCACAGCCAGGCACGTTCTCCCCCTTTAGGATTCCCTCCCCCACCCATACCCCAGATTTTCTGCACTGGAGACAGCTGTTTTGTAGGGACACTGTCATGTCCATCACTCCTCTTGGATAAAGGGAGGGTTGGGTCATTTCACCAGTCAATATAGCCAAACCCCATGCTAGCAGGAGATGCCAAGGGATTAATGGTGCAAGGCTGCTCTGGTCAATTTGTACACAGAGACCTTATGCGCTGTACTCAGAATCTCTGATCTTATCCAGATGCTGCAACAAAGCTGCCCTCCGAAGAATCCTTCCCCAAAACTATGCATACGTCTAACCAAAGGAAACCCCCCCACAAGAGTTGAAAATGAGGCACAGTTAGGAGTCCTCCAAGCCTTGACGTATTTTCAATGCTTAAATCAGTTTGTTACATTTCAAGTCGCACCATAGGAGTGGGTCTAACCTGGGGCATCCAAACTATGCAAGAGCAAGTGGCTAATGTAGCCTTTGGGATGAGCTCAGGCCGAGCACCTACATTGCACATTTAAGCTTAAACCACTTGAATTAGAGATCAAGCACACAGCATTCGCTTGCATTCGCTTGCACCTGCATCTTCCTTGATAGGAGATTAGAACAAGGTGGCTGCTGGAATTCACCAACAGCAACTCAGCTCTTGCCTTGCAGTCCCAGGGCCACATCCTGCTAAGGATGAACTCAGGAGCCATAACTGCCATTGACTTCAATGGTGCAAGATCGAGCGCCTAGGACAACAGTGGCTGCTATCTCAGCCAACCCCAGGCACTGACCTGGGGACTTCCAGAGCTAACACCACAAGTCTCTACAGCTTGAGACAGAGAGCTAGGCTTCATAAGAGGGGCAGCGGTAGACTCACATCCTCTGTGGCTCAGGTACAGAGGACAAAGGGTAACACTCATTCACAGGTCGGTTAGAATTGCATTTTACCTTCGGGCCAAAACTTCAGATTTCCTACTTCGAGAGTGACATGGGGCCAAGTTTTCCAAAGTGCTCAGCACTCAATGGCTTCCACTGAGCCACTCGTTTCGGAGCCTACATGGGAGCTAGTGAGCATTGGGCTTTTTAAAAATAGCAACAAACAGAAAAAGTGACCCAAGAAACTTTAGACAAAATGGAGACCGTTAGAAGAGACTGTCCATGCAATATGAGCTTAATCGGACTCGGAATACCACAACCTTTCTTTGGAAACAATGGAGAAGCCTGATCAGCACAGCCCTGTTCAGTGCAAACGTCGTTGTTTTTCACATGGATATGTAGGTCGGCAGCAAAAGCGGTGGATCTGTTTGTGCGCGGTGGGCAGGCACCTGCAGTCTCAGGGGAGTGTCACATGCACCTTTTGAGAGGTTATTTTGCTTCTGGCCATTCCTCTGACAAATAACCAAGCTGCAAGCACATTTTAAAAGGGGAAAGAGAAGTATCGGCAGGATAGGTATGTAACAAAGAAATCCATTTTACTCCCTTGAAAGAAAACACACCGGGTGAATGTTGTTGCTCTATGGGGAACAGGGTTAACAGCAGAGACGGTGCTCTAGGAGGAGATCCTTCCAGTAGATATTAGCAACGGGCTAGGATGCAATAATGCAGCCTGCCCGGTGAAGTAACATACAGTTAAAATACTTGCAGGTAAATCGAGTAGCCTGGCCCGCCGGGTACTCGAGAGAGTAGGGAGGTTGGGCATTTGAGTCCAGACCAATGCTGGACTAAGGAATAAAATATATAGTTTGATTTATCCTCTTAAAAAAGTCATTTTTCAATAATATTTGCCACATTATAAAATGTAAGGCTAGTTGTGCTATAGTAACCCATTGCTTCCCATGTTTGAATCATTCCCTGTTCTCTTCCAACATTGCTTTCACCCCTGGGATCAGAGCTGTCCTCCCTTTGTTCAGCTGCAGGCCATCTTGGCAACTTGCAACAACTCCAGGACTGCATTTCATTCGCATTAAAACTGAGCCGACTGCAGCTGCACTCGCGATTGGGGAGAGGCGTGGCCCAGGAACTACGGGCCCCAGCATGCACTGCTTCCTGTTGAAGCATGCAGCCTTTCATTGAGCTCAAGATGGAGCACTGCACTATGGGATTTGGATTCATAGGCTGCACCTAGAAGAGGGGGGCCTATGGCAAACATTGTAGGCCTCCCAGGGGCCACGTTTCTAAAGGAGAAATAAAATAATTAAAAAATACCAAAACAAATACATGCTGCACAGCTAAAAACCCAGGGGTGCGTTGACCTCTTGAACTCAGAGATTTGAAAAGGCCTCAGCTTCCTGCATGCATCTTGTGATGCTATGATTCCTTCTGCATTTATATATACACCACAGCCCAAACTGGAGCGCGTCTCATTGACAAAATAGAGGAGATTTAAAAAACAAAGTCCTGTTAATTTCCCATTCCCCTACAGCACCCCCCCAAAGAAACGCACTGTGCATTTAGAATTATTTGTTTTAAGATCCTAAAGTAAGGCATGGTTATCACAAAGATTAGAGTGGACGGAGGAGTCTGTTAAGATACCCAGAGGAAATAAGCAACTTCGTCCAAGTCAACGGGATAGTCTGTTAACAGGACTGGGGTCTTCTCAAACAGCTCCCCTTTGTAACTGCGCCATTTGCCAGCCGGGAGGTACACATCTCGCTCTTGCTTGCCCAGCTCCAGGACAGGGGCTACCATGAGGGTGTCCCCAATGAGGAACTGGGAGTCGATCTTGTGAGCGAATTCATCCCTGGGAGAAATCCACCAGATGGGCCGTATGATGGGGTCTCCCGTGTCGGTGACCTCCCCAGCTAGCTCCAACAGGAGAGGGGCAACCAGGGACTCATGCAGCTCTGTGAACTTCTGTGCAATCTCAATCACTGCCTTGTCGTAGAGCCAGGGGGGTATGGAAAACTGCATGGAGGGCATGAAGGCCGACAGCTCCAGCCAGCGGATGTACAGCTCCTGATCCGGGATTTCAACAGCACCTTCCGTCTTGTTGGGGAAAAAATTACCACCGATCATGTCAGCTGAAATGAAAGGATACCCCAGCATGCTAATGGTGAGCACTGTAGGGATCAAGGACTTGAGGCCAAGCTCATATCCCCAAACCGAGTCGCGGTCGATGATGCGGAAGAAGCACGAGATGTTTTGGGACTGGTAGCCGACCCTGACTTCGGCGAGCTCGTAGAACGGAATGGCCATTTCCGTGTACCGTCTGGACCAGATGCTGGGATCCGACAAGGGCCTGAAGGTGCTGAACTGCTTTGGAAGGTAGCTTACCTCACCAGCGTCAAATTTAAAGGACGCTATGCCATACTTTGACCGCAGTTGTTTCAGGTGGCTCTGAAACCACTCCCTGGCTGTGGGATTGGTAAAATCCAATATGGCCCCAATGCCGTTCCACCACTTCACCATCGCAGGGAGTTTCCCTGTTGGCTCCTTGATAAAGAGCTGCTGCTCTATCCCCACTCCAAAATTGGAGGAATTGTAGTTTATAAAGGGATGCGTCCACAGGGTAACTTTAAATCCCTCTTCTTTCAGCGTTTTGAACATTTCTGTCACATTAGGGAACTTTACCGGATCAAAGTCAAAATCGCCATAAGTCTGTGTGTACATGTCATCAATTTCAATATGGCTGCAATTAAACCGGAACTTTTTAATCTTTTCTGCAAAATCTAGAAGTTTATCCTGGTCAATATGATTTTTGTACAGAGCCCGTGTAGACCAGGTGGGGTACCGGAAGGCGTTTTCTGATGGGATCTTAGAAGGCTTGTTGAAGTACCTACGCACCATGTATTTGTGAATAGAGGTCACATCCGAACCGACACAGACACGGTAGCTTAGCTCCGGGAAAGGCTGCTGCCCAAGGGGCGGTTTGTAGGGAGAATCCTTATACCTGGCCTGAAAGAAGAGCGACCGTTCACTGGCGTTAAACCCCAGGTGGAAGGGCACCGAGTCGTTGATCTTTATAGCCACCGCTTTTGAGGACAGCCAGTACCTTTCCAAGATGCCTCCAAAGCTGCCCCTGAAGGAATACACATCGCTCGTCACAAAGGGCATGGGCTCCTGGTACCCTGGCAGTCTGATTGGCCAGTGCTGGACGCTCATTTCACAGCCCCCGTACCAGTGAGCGTCCTCCCAAAACATGGTGTGCTCGACCACCGTGTCTCCCACAAACTCCTCCCAGCGGACGCGGTAGCACATCACCGTGTCCTTGGGCTTGACAGTCTGAATGAAGAAATTCAGCTTCCCTCTGTCTGACCTGGTGCAGCTTAAAATCTCCCCTTCTTTCGAGCAGGACTCCAGATCGAGGGTGCCCGACTGAAAGGCCAGTCTGAAGACCACCTCCCCGTTGTGGTTTTTGATGATGAACCCATCCTTCCTCAGGTCCATCAATTCCGTCTTTAGCCGCTCCGCCTTCCTGAGAGACGCCGTGTAGTAGCACCAAGCCACCACCGCTGCAATGAACAAGATGAGCCCGACGATTATTGCACCGATCATTGGCTTCAGCTCCTTGGACGGCTTCGGCTTCACCAGGTTGAAGTTTTCCGGCAGAAATGTGTACATGATGCTATTCTTTCTGAAGTGCTCGCTCCTAAACAACAACAAGACGGCTGATTTTAACAAAGCCGAAAACGCTTAGTTATTTCTGGTAGAGTTCTTGTCAGGCTCTCAAAAAAAGGAAAGGAACAGTGGTGTATGCAGCTGTGATTTCTTCTCCAGATCCCTTCAACCCCTGAACAGTGGTGTCTGAAACAGAAGGGGGAAAAATACATATAAGCATCCTCTAAGTCAGGGGAGGGCAAACTTTTTGGCCCGTGGGCCACATCAGGGTTGCAAAACTATATGGAGGGCCATGTAGGGAAGGCTGTGCCTACCCAAACAGCCTGGCCCCTGCCCCCTATCCACCCCCACCAACTTACCGACCCCTGACTGCCCCCCTCAGAACCCCTGACCCATCCAACCCCCTTGCTCTTTGTCCCCTGACTGCTCCCTCCTGGGACCCCCCCACCCCTAACCGCCCCCGGGACCCCACCCCCATCCAACCCCCCCCGCTCCCTGTCCCGACTGCCGCGCCCCCTATCCACACCCCACCTCCCGACAGGCCGTCCAGGACTTCCATGCCTAACCACACCCCTGCTGCTCCCTGTCCCCTGACCGCCCTGACCCATATCCACACCGCTGCCCCTGACAGGGCCCCTGGGACACCCACGCCTATCCAACCCCACCCCATTCCCCATCCCATGACTGCTCCCCGCATCCAACTGCTCCCTGCCCCCTTACCATGCCAGAGCCGGCCACGCTGCCCGGCAGGAGTGGTGGGCCAGAGCACTGGGGCGCGGCGCACTGAGGCTGCGGGGGAGGGGGGACAGCAGGGGAGGGGCCAGGGGCTAGCCTCCCCGGCCGGGAGCTCAGGAGCTGGGCAGGATGGTCCCGCGGGCCAGATGTGGCCCGTGGGCCATAGTTTGCCCACCTCTGATCTAAGTCAAAATATATTACAGCAGAATGTAGAGATCAAGCAATAATGGGGCCCGTTTGCACCAGGCACCATACAAATGGAGTAGGAGGCAGTCTCTGTCCTGAAGAGCTAACAATCTAAAACAGACAAGGGAGACAGGGTGGCGAAGGAGGAGAACCATCCAAGCAGAGTCAACAACGTGATGGAGGCAAATGGCATGTTAATGATACGGAGAGAGAGAGAGAGAGAGAGTGTTTAGTTAGGAGGGGGATCAGCTAAGTGGAAAGCAAAGCGCATGGAGAGGGGACACTGAAGGAAAAGGGGGACAGGGCTGGGGAGAAGAGGGTAAGAGGGTAGATGTGGAGTGAAGTAGAGGTGAAAAGACTCTGTGGAAGGCAGAAAGGATGAGCATACAGCCAAATCAGCACAGGGCAGAGGAAGTCCCATCAAAACTTTAGAAAATGTGCTGGATGTCCCAAGGTCCCTGCTTTGGCTGCTTCTGCTCCTACTGGCTAAAGCGGTGCTCCCCAAACTGTGGGGGTGCAGAGGAACGTTTGTGGGGGGGGGCATGGTGGGCCCTGGGCCAGCCCCCATGGGTGGCAGGGAGGGAGCACCACCAGATCTGCTCCGACCCCAGCTCCTGGTTATGGCTCTGCTCTTGGCCCCATCCCCAGCCCTGACCCCAGGCCCAGCCCCGGCTGCGGCTCCGCACCGGCTGTGACCCTAGCTGCCGGCTTGGCCTCAGCTTCCTTCCAGCTGCGGCCCCAGCTCCACACCCACTCCCAGCCCCGCCCCCAGCTGCGGCCAGCCCAGGTCTCAACCTTTGGCTCCCGGCCTGGCTGCGACTCCAGCCCCAGCCTTGGCCCTCGGCCCTGACCCTGCTCCCAGCCACGGCCCCGGCCCCGGCCCCAGCCCCAGGTGTGGCCACACTTCCCAGTCCTGGGGGGCGTGAGGTAAAAAGTTTGGGAACACTGCCAAAGGCAAATGCAGTTTTCATGTCAAACTGACTCACCACATTTCCATTTGGTTTAGCAGACCAAAACAATCTTTCGATTCGGGACTGTCAAAACATTTACCAAAAACATTACCAACGTTTCTTTTTACCAAAAATTGTCAAAACATTACCAAATATTTTTGATTCAGAACTTTCCATTGAAATACCAATTTCTTTCATTCAATGATTCCATCCAGTTTGGGATTAAAACAAATGTTGAAACACCAGAATTTCCTGTAAAACAAAAATTCTGATTTTTGTTTAGCGGTAGCCAGACTGCATGTGTGTTGAAGGGAAGACGTTAATCAGAGAAACACGGCACTAGGCCTTTCTAGTTTTAAAGGTCTGGATTAAGGCATTAGCTTGCCTAAAACTAGAGGCCAAACTGAAAAGTTTACACACCTTTATTGGGCAGTGCTAATTAACAGCCATAGAAGAGTAACCAGGTGATGATCTCCAAGCAACCAAACTTAATTTTATCTATGTCTAAGGGCATGGCTACACTTGCAGATGTCGAGCGCTTTGAGTTAAACCCACCTTCAGAGAGCGCAGTAGGAAAAGCGCTGCAGTCTGTCCACACTGACAGCTGCAAGCACACTGGCGTGTCCACATTTGCGGCATTTGGAGCAGTGCATTATGGGCAGGTATCCCACAGAGCACCTCTTCCCATTGTGGCACTGTGGCTTGTGGGAAGGGGGCAGAGGGTGCAAGGCATTCTGGGTCCTGTCCCAACGCCCCATGATGCATCAGTTCGCATCCCAGCAATCCCTCTGCTTCCGTTCACAATTGGCGCCATCTTTCAACATTTTTTGTACCATGCGCTCTGTCTTCCCTTTCGGTCTGCAGGAATGGGGCCCCAACTGCTGAGGAGCATGCTGACGAGTCTCGCCAGCACGTCACGTTTGGCAGTTGAGTTATTCCTTAAGATCCAAAGTGACAGTGAGGACTCAGACGATGATATCGATGTGAGTAACACACAGGACACAAGATTGCTTGTGGCATTCACGGACATGCTCACCACCGTGAATCGGCACTTTTGGGCTCGGGAAACAAGCACTGAGTGGTGGGATCACATCGTCATGCAAGTCTGGGATGATGAGCAGTGGCTGCAGAACTTTCGGATGAGAAAAGCCACTTTCATGGGACTGTGTGAGGAGCTCGCCCCCCACCCTGCGGCACAAGGACACGAGATTGAGAGCTGCCCTGCCGGTGGAGAAGCAGGTGGCTATTGCAATCTGGAAGCTGGCAACTCCAGACAGCTACCGATCAGTCGCTCACCAGTTTGGAGTGGGGAAGTCAACCGTTGGAATCATATTGATGCAACTTTGCAGGGCCATTAATCACATCCTGCTCAGAAGAACCGTGACTCCAGGTAACGTGCATGACATTGTGGATGGCTTTGCACCAATGGGTTTCCCTAACTGCGGAGGGGCGATAGATGGGACGCATATTCCAATTCTGGCACCAGCCCACCTAGCCTCCAAGTACGTTAATCGGAAGGGGTATTTCTCGATGGTTCTCCAGGCGCTTGTGGATCACCGTGGGCATTTCATGGACATTAACACAGGCTGGCCTGGAAAGGTGCCTGACGCATGCATCTTTCGGAACACTGGCCTGTTCAGGAAGCTGCAAGCCGGGACTTTTTTCCCCAGACCAGAAGATCACCGTAGGAGAAGTCGAAATGCCCATTGTGATCCTGGGAGACCCCGCTTACCCTTTAATGCCGTGGCTCATGAAACCCTACACAGGGAGCCTTGACAGCAGCAAGGAGCAGTTCAACAACAGGCTGAGCCGGTGCAGAATGACTGTGGAGTGTGCTTTTGGTTGTTTAAAGGGCTGCTGGTGCTCTCTGTATGGGAAGCTGGACCTGGCTGATAACAGCATCTCCGCGGTTATATCCGTGTGCTGTACCCTCCATAACATTTGTGAAGAGAAGGGGGAAAGATTCACTCAGGCATGGAAATCGGAGATTCAACACCTGGAGGCTGAATTTGAACAGCCAGAGAGCAGGGCTACTAGAGGGGCCCAGCGTGGGGCTGCAAGGATTAGGGATGCCTTGAGGGAGCAATTTGAGGCTGAAAGCCACCAGTAATGTCTGGCGCCCTGCACGAGAGTGAAGTGCAGTGGTTCCAATGTTAGTAGAAATCTGTGTTTGCTACTCTGACTTGCAGTGCCTGTTGCTTTCCTAGGCTAAGGTATCTTTTACATTATGCAATAATAAAGAAGTTTTCAAAGCAAAAAAATCCATTTAATGAAAAGAAACAACTGCTTGGGAAACAGGAAAGGGCAAGGGGGTGGGGTGGGGAACGGTACAATCACAGATTTGCGTATGGAGTGCTGTGCAATGAGTGCTGAACTTCAGGAGGGCTATACTGCCTGGTGATGGGGGTTGAGTGCAGTGGGTAAGGGTTGTAGTTTTCAGGGCTGGGTGGTGAAGCTACAGGTGTTGGAGGCAGCTGGTGGCGATAAGAACCCGGATGTTGGGGAAAGTGGGTTGGAGGTGACATGGGGGCACAAGGGAAAGAGTTTTGGGACAAGGGCTGCAGGGGCAGGCGGGTGAGGCAGTGCTCTGCCTGCATGGCGACGAGCGCCTGGATCGAGTCCGCTTGGCGCTCCATGATGCTTAGCAGCCGCTCCGTGCTTTGGTGCCAGCGATCCGTATTCTACTGGCGGACCCTCCTTTCACTCTCCCGCCACTCCTGCTCTTTTTGAATTTCATTACTTGAATGCTGCATGACTTCACGCAGCGTGTCCTCTTTGCTTCTGCGTGGCCTCTTCCTGATTCTTTGCAGCCTCTCAGCTGGTGATGACATGGACGACTGAAACCTCAAGGTTTCATCTGTAAAGGCAAAATGCAACACTTAGCAGAGGCAGCATTGTTCACACCAGACAGAGCAATGATTCCCCCGTACTTAAGGGCAAGCACAATCTACACAGTAGCATAATTTGCCCGTCCCAAAGCAAGCGCACATAACCCATGGGAGCCCCAAAATGGTGAGTAAGCACAGGGTCAAGGGGGACTGATTCTTTCATGGTTTGGGTTCTATGCCTTGGGGAGAGCCAACAGCGGCAGGGGGCCCCTAAACTGAACACTGCCCCCACATTTTCCACAGGAGTTCATCCTGGAAGATATCTCACTGCTGAGGGTGACCTGGGAAGCAAGGGAGGGTCTTGTACTGCACTGCGGCTTCTGCCCTGGCCCATATGCAGTTTGCCTGTGTGCAGCAATGGTCCCCCCGCCCCTCACAGCACAGTGGTGCGGACAAGTTAGCCTTACTGGGGCAAGGACCACAATGGTTCTCCCAAGAAACCTGCACAAGCGCATTGCCCGAGTTCTCACTGAGACCTTTGAAGAGATCACTGAGGCTGAAAATTGCGATGTGAGAGAGCACATCAATGCCCTATTCCGCATCTAGGCATGCATGCAGCCCTAACTCTCCTCACCCCAAGAGCCCGCACCAAATAACTTCCTTCCCAAAATAAAAACTGCTTACTGGGAACCTCCTCTGATGTTTGTCCTTCCCCAAACACTGGCCGCCGTGACTGGCCACCTTCCTCCTAGCTTGAGGACAGCTCCTGGCTGCATGCATCTAGGGATGCCGGGGTGTATTCCTCCTCCGGAGCACCCTCGCTCCCACTTTGCTCCTCCTCCTGCCTTGTTGAACTGGGCTCTGAAGTGTCCATGGTGGTACTCGGAGTGGAGGTGGGTTCGGCCCCAAGTATCGCGTCCAGCTCTTTGTAGAAATGGCAGGTCGCAGGGGCAGCACCGGAGCGGCTGTTTGCCTCATGGGCTTTGCGGTACACATTCCGCAGCTCCTTCATTTTAATCCTGCACTGCTGTGCGTCCCGATCATGGCCCCTTTCCATCATGTCCCTTGATATCTGCCTGAAGGTATCGCAATTCCTACGGCTGGAGCGCAGCTGGGACTGGACAGCTTCCTCCCCCCAAACACTAATGGGGTCCAGCACCTTGCCATTGCTCCATACTGGGGATCGCCTGGCACGTGGAGGCACGGTCACCTGGAAAGATTCGCTGAGAACACTCCACGCCTGGCTGAGCAAACAGGAAAGGGATTTTCAAAATTCCCAGAGAATTTAAAGGGCTGGTCTGACGGTTGGTCACCTGAGGGCAGGGCAGTAGAGTTCAAAGTGATGACCGGAGTGGCTAGAACAGGCATTGTGGGACACTTCTGGAGGCCAATCAGAGCGCATTAACAGACCAGGGCGTCCACACTGGTGCCGCGGCGCTCCAGGGGGGGCGCACAAAAACGTTATTCCACTGGCCGAGGTGGAGACCAGCAGCGCTCTAGCCACGGAGTCAGAGCGCTCTTCGTGCCTTGCCAGTGTGGACGGGTAGTGAGCTAGTGTTCCTGGGGCTCCTTTAATAGGCTGTAACTCGCAAGTGTAGCCAAGCCCTAAGTCTTTGCCACACAGTTAACTCAAGTTGTCTTCACTCAATTAACAACGGTAGCATGAGAACAGCCTCACTGTGGAACACCACTCAAACTGCACAGAGTGGCTGGACTGTCAGCTAACAAACAGTGCTAACTGAAGCATTAGCCGATTCCCTCTCACCCACCTCTTGCATTCTCTCTAATGCAGCTTGAGTCCTTTGGGGCGCAGACTGCTGTCCATTACATATCTCTACAATACTTAGCACTCTGGAGCCCTGCTCCTTGATTAAGATTCCTAGGTACAGTACTGCCTTAATATGAATGGTTTAGAGTAAAGGGTTCTGTTTCCCAGCCAAGGGGCAACCCAGTCTGATCTGTTGCTTTTATTTTTGGCTGCTTTGTGAGTTGCATTTTTATTATGCCAATTGCACAAGTCTGAGCCTTTATATTGGCTTTTTAGCCACCAGAAGGTCCATTTGAACTGGGATTGTGGTCCTCAAATCCTACTGACACCTTGTCAGTCTAATATCCCATCGCTCACAGCTGCTGCATGGCACGCTGCACGGGCCAGTGTCTCATTAAAGCAAAGAGAGAGATGCCAGATCTTCTGGAACAAACACTGCTGCCTATTAGAAAGATTTCTAATGGGACTTAACTGGAGGATATAGATTTGCTGCTCTCATGTTTGAGGCTGATGAGGTGGTTACGTTGCCCACACACAAAGAGCAAATGCAGATTCTTGGGCTGATTTTCTTTTTAAGATTAAGAGGAAATTGCTTTTTTCCTTGTTTCAAAGCACTTGCTCATGGAAATAATGGGAGCCCCTCTGTTACACGCTGCATGCCTTCAACGCCTACGGAGGGACAGCAATGGTTACAAGCCCCTAGTGAGAATACTGCAAAGGAAAGCAAAAATTGTGCATGCACTACAAGGATATGCATAAAAGCTGTAGCAGGAAGCCAGGGAGGATGTGGCAAGATTCTAGGCAGAAGCTCTAGAAGTGAAACAGAGGAAGGCTAACCTTGTGGCTAACACTGTGTCCCCCATTGTATGCAGTGTTGTAGCCATGTTGGTCCCAGGACGTTAGAGAGACAAGGTGGGTGAGGTAATAGCTTTTATTGGACCAACTTCTGTTGGAGAGAGAGACAAGCTGTCGAGCTACACAGAGCTCTTCCTCTGGGAAAGGGTCTGGAAAAGGCACTCAGTGTCACAGCCACATACAAGGTTGAACAGGTAGTTTAGCAGAAGCACATATTCTACGGGATCATTCAAGGTGAAGTGCCCAGTTAACACCCCTGTAGCCATAGGACAAAAAGGGGGATACAGATTTCATGAGTGAGCACTTTTTATTGGCGGTTAGCTAATCCCCATCCTCTGAACTGTAACCCTTATCATAGAATATCAGGGTTGGAAGGGACCTCAGGAGGTCATCTAGTCCAACCCCCTGCTCAAAGCAGGACCAATCCCCAACTAAATCATCCCAGCCAGGGCTTTGTCAAGCCTGACCTTAAAAACTTCAAAGGAAGGAGATTCCACCACCTCCCTAGGTAACCCGTTCTAGTGCTTCACCACCCTCCTAGCAAAAAAGTTTTTCCTAACATCCAACCTAAACCTCCCCCACTGCAACTTGAGACCATCGCTCCTTGTTCTGTCATCTGCTACCACTGAGAACAGTCTAGAGCCATCCTCTTTGGAACCCCCTTTCAGGTAGTTGAAAGCAGCTATCAAATCCCCCCTCATTCTTCTCTTCCGCAGACTAAACAATCCCAGTTCCCTCAGCCTCTCCTCATAAGTCATGTGCTCCAGTCCCCTAATCATTTTTGTTGCCCTCCGCTGGACGCTTTCCAATTTTTCCACATCCTTCTTGAAGTGTGGGGCCCAAAAGTGGACACAGTACTCCAGATGAGGCCTCACCAATGTCGAATAGAGGGGAACGATCACGTCCCTCGATCTGCTGGCAGTGCCCCTACGTATACATCCCAAAATGCCATTGGCCTTCTTGGTAACAAGGGCACACTGCTGACTCATATCCAGCTTCTCGTCCACTGTAACCCCTAGGTCCTTTTCTGCACAACTGCTGCCGAGCCATTTGGTCCCTAGTCTGTAGCGGTGCATGGGATTCTTCCATCCGAAGTGCAGGGCTCTGCACTTGTCCTTGTTGAACCTCATCAGATTTCTTTTGGCCCAATCCTCTAATTTGTCTAGGGCCTTCTGTATCCTATCCCTACCCTCCAGCGTATCTACCACTCCTCCCAGTTTAGTGTCATCTGCAAACTTGCTGAGGGTTACAGAAGTTGGTTCAATAAAATGTATTACCTCACCCACCTTGTCTCTCCTCTGTGCTCCTTATTCTAACAAAGCTCCTTGTTCAGAGATAGAAGAAAGCAAAGCTGCGTGTGATTCCTCTGCATTATAGCTAAGGCTACGATTTAGTCACAGGTATTTTTAGTAAAAGTCACGGTCAGGTCACAGTCAATAACCAAAAAGTCAGGGCCAGTGATCGGTCCATGAGTTTTATGAAAAATACTCCTAACTAACTCTTACCTACTGATGGTGGTGGGGCGGTGCTCCCGCAGATGCTGCTGCTGCTCCTGGAGGTGGGGGGTGGCCAGGGGTCCTGCCTCTGCGGCTGCTCCTGGAGGACTGCCGCTGCTGCCCCGGGTGGGGGTGGCCTGGGGTACTGCTGCTGCTCCTGGACCGCTGCTCCGGGGCAGCGCCCAGGACCAGTTGCCTGGGGCAGTCCTGGGGTCAGCTGCACTAGCCACTGCAGCTGCAGAAATCACGGAGGTCCTGGAAAGTCACAGAATCTGTGACCTCCGTGAAAGATTCGAAGCCTTAATTATAGCCTGACGTACCCCATAAGGGTTACAGTTAAAAGGATGGAGGATTAGCCCCATGGAGCCAGCAGTAGAATAAACTTCTAGGAGAAGATCAGGTGAATTCAGGGTCTGACCATCTCTAGGAAACTCTGCAAAATCTTCCTCTTCGAAACAGTTTTACCACCACTGAATGACACCTGCAACACTGATCCCTACCCCGTCTAGTCAATAAACCCTATTCAACAACAAAAACACCCTGAAACAAAACAACAAAAATTTTAAACAAACAAAACCATTACCCTCAAAAGGGGGAGACGTACCAGAACCTCCATGAAATCCACTGCTGTGAAATGTGCACTTTTATCAATTTTGATATCACACCAAATGATACTTGCATTTTATATTACCGTGCATAGATTAAAGCATGGGAGGAAGTGATACTTTGGGAAGGAGATGGGGGTAGAGTTATCAGGGGGTGACCAAGCCACGACTGCTTTTTATAATCAGTTTAATAGATCAGGTTTTCACTTCTTCAGGAAACTTCAGAACTCCCCTCTCCACAAATTTTCTGGTATCAGAAAACCAGAAACCCACACTTTTTGTAAGCTTCCCCCGCCCCCCGAAGCAACATAATTTTTAACCAACAAACAAGTGTTCAGTTTCCGATTTTTACATCAAAATACAGAATTTCAGTTTTGCTTAAACAAATAAAATGACCAGTTCTACTGGATAATAAAGACCCATGATTTTAATGTCTCACTTTCCATGCTGCTACCTAGGCATTGAGTTCCCTCATTAATTAAAATACCAGAAATCTTTGCTTTTGTTCAAGGCCTTGCTAAAAATCTTCCCTCTTTTCAACCATTATTCCCTTACTAATCACCTCAGCCTCTGCTCACAACATCCATGCCTTTGCTGTAACACTTGTTGAAAAACCAAAGTTTTCTGTCTTAAAACTAGAACCAACAGGACTTGTGGGGAAACATGAATATCTAACTCCATGAACTCTTATCTCAGACTTCACCTGCATTCCATCTCTGTCTGTTGGTGCTCTGACTTTGCAAGCACATTTTAAACTCTCTAGCATTGAATTCAAAGGACTACGTGTGTGTGCAAATTTCTGCCTGCCTGCAGGATTAGGGACTTGGACAGAATTCTTATCAGCGCTTAGTAAACAGTACTCCTGTAAAGCACCCTGCATGCCCTTGAGCCTACATGAACAACAGCACGCAGGCAGCTAACTTGTGATGCTAAAAGCCACTTTGTAATCCTTGGCACCAACGCTCCAGCAGGAAGAAATAGCAAGTTTCCTCCTGGGGGAATTCTGTGTCAAAAAAATTAAATATTTTAAAATTCTGCTGCGCAACTGGGGCTGTCGGGTTCGGGCTGCCATGTGTGGGGCTGACAGCTCAAGCCTGGCCATGCATAGGACTGACAGTGGGAGATCACAAATTCTGCAGGGGAAAAAATTTTGTGGAGAACATAAATTCTGCACCGCGCAGTGATGCAGAATTCCCCCAAGAGTACAAGTTGCCATGTCTCAAATGGCGAAGGTGCCTAAAGAAGATAGGGGTCTGCTTTAGCAGTTCTGACCATTACCTATTATTTTCCAGTCCTAATTCCAGCAATGGCCAATGTTTGCCACTTCAGAGGGAGCAGAGAAATACCCATGTTACTCTCCTAGGAACCCATCCTACAATGACCAGGACCCATTAGGAGTGGGGCCCTGTCAGGGTTCCTTCCCCACTCTGAACTCTAGGGTACAGATGTGGGGACCCGCATGAAAGACCCCCTAAGCTTATTCTTACCAGCTTAGGTTAAAAACTTCCTCAAGGTACAAACTTTGCCTTGACCTTGAACAGTATGCTGCCACCACCAAGCATGTTAAACGAAGAACAGGGAAAGAGCCCACTTGGAGACGTCTTTCCCCAAAATATCCCCCCCGCCTCCCAAGCCCTACACCCCCTTTCCTGGGGAGGCTTGAGAATAATATCCTAACCAATTGGTTACAAAATCATCAAAGACCCAAACCCCTGGATCTTGGAACAATGGAAAAATCAGTCAGGTTCTTAAAAGAAGGATTTTATTAAAAAAAAGAAAGGTAAAAATCACCTCTGTAAAATCAGGTTGGAAAATACTTTACAGGGTATCCAGATTCAAAACACAGAGGATCCCCCTCTGGGCAAAACCTTAAAGTTACAGAAAACAGGATAAACCTTCCTCTTAACACAGGGAAAATTCACATAAAACAAAAGATAAACTAATCCGCCTTGCCTGGCTTACTTACCTTTACTGGTTGCAATATTGGAGACTTGGATTAGGATGGGTTGGAGAAGATGGATTTGTCTGGCCTCTCTCAGTCCCAAGAGAGAACAAACACGTAAACAAAGAGCACAAACAAAAGCCTCCCCCCACCCAAGATTTGAAAGTATCTTGTTCCCTTATTGGTCCTTTGGGTCAGTTGCCAGCCAGGTTAGCTGAGCTTCTTAACCCTTTACAGGTAACAGGATGTTGCCTCTGGCCAGGAGGGATTTTATAGCACTGTATACAGAAAGGTGGTTACCCTTCCCTTTATTTATGACAGGCCCTAATCAGGTGTACAACGCTGTAGCGAACGGGATCCCATCCTGACTTCCTGCAGAATAAGCAATTCAGGGGTTAAACTGCAGAGACTGAAGTGCAACCACCTGATGATACACAGCCACTTTCCACTTACCATCATCCTTGAGCCCGGGAATGAGGGAACCCAGGGCTCTGTGGCATTTGGCTGCTGTACAGCTCACTTAATTAAACCTATTGCCCATGTGGGCTAATCACCCCTTAATTCCACAACAATCTCATTATTTAAAGTAACTGAAAGGCTAGAAAGCTAAAGGCCTCTGACTGAGGGGTGAAGAGATTTGTCCAGTCCAGACTTCACAGGTGTTTTTCTCTTCATTCAGTCTTCGAATAGCAGTCGTGTCCTTTCACTTTCTCTCAAACCTCAGGTTCCCTCCAGTTCCTGACTCACTCAGTTTCTCTCTTGCTGCATCTTAGCTCTCAGTCACTGCTGACTCACAGAATCTCTGTGCAGTGGTGTTCTTATTGTTTTCCATGAGCTGGCAGTGCCCATGTGACTGCACTGCTAATGTTACAGGGAGATGGGATCATAGCCCATAAGGAGGGGGAAATGGGACATACACAGAATGAAAGGGCAGCGTGGGAAGGAGCATAGCATAGTGGACAGAACCAGGCTAGGCAGGTTGAACTGCCTACCTGGGTGACCGTGGATAAGTCGTTTAAGCTCCCCTGGGCCTCAGTTTCCCTTCTGAAAACAGAGCTAAAATTTCCCTACCTCACATAATCCATTAATAATTATGAGGGGCTTAGACAACTGCAGTGAGGAGAGCCATGGAAATAGATAAAATCTATTGTGACACTGTCTCCTGCAGCCTTTGCATTTTTAAAATCTTTTGAGCCTCTCCAAACTCTATAAACACAAATACAGCCTCAGACAGGCTACTGACCTGGTCTCTAGTGCCCAAGGGTTTAACTTCAGTTCAATGCAGGTGTGCTCCAGGAAAGACTAAAACTCTTCACTTGGGAGGGCTGGGATCAGCCCAGGAGTACAGAACTAGTTAGAACTCCAGGCTCAGTAGTTCTTTATTCACTCCTTCATGTCTTGTTGGAAATGCTATTTCCTTAAGGGCTGACCGTGGCTGTGTTCTGTTTTCTCAGTTAAGTCATCTTACCACTTTGCAGTCTCTACCTCCCTGGAAAATGGATATGTTTGGGTTAATCCTGTTTTAGAGATGGGGAAACTGAGGCATGGGAAGGGGAAATGACTTGTCCAAAGTCACACAGCAGGTCAGTGGCAGAGCAGGAAATAAAACCCAGGGGTCTGAGCTCACAAGCACTTGTGCTAGCCATTAGGCAATACTTCTCCCCTCAAACACATGAGGACCAAATTGATGAAGTGCAACTCTCCTCTGGCTGGCTGTGAAGGAGCTAATAATGAAAGCCAGAATTGATGATGACTGAAGGAATTCTTCATTGCCTATCTAGACGGGACGCCACAGACCAGAGCACGGGTGAGCGGTGAAAATCCACATAGATGCACTCAATCCAAGTTATCACAAGCACGACATTGCTGGGATGAAATTTTGTCCCCATTAAAGTTAAGGTCAAAACTCCCGCTGATTCCAATGGGGCCAGGATTTCACCCCTGGAACTTGCAGCCTACTTATTCAACTGAGCTGGGGCTCACCCTGGAAGCAAAACAATGGGGTCAGGCTGGAGCCTCTTGACTCAAAATAGGAGAGCTCTGAGCATCTGTGTTGGAGGCAGAACTCCCTGTAGGCTTCGGAGCTAAGGAAAAGCAGGTGGGACGCTACCCAGTAGACTCACAAGAACCCATAGGGCAAAACCCTGCTGAATTTCAAAAGCCTGCGGTAAACAGCAAAGATGTTAGAGCTGTTGTATTCATTTAGACAGAATAAGTGGTAACATATCCCAGACACTGCAACATTAGACAGTGTTAAACAAAGTTTGGGGTTTGTTACACAGAGATCTCTGCCTGTTTAGCACCATGGCAAACACTCCAGGAAACATCCTTTTATTAAAAATAAGGAAAAGAAGGACAAACAATGAAAGCCTTTGAAATGTAAGCCTCATTTAATGCCTTTCACTTTAACAACTTCCCTTCCCTTTAGTTGTAGAGAGTTTTTTAGAAGGGAGGGGGAAAAAAAACCAATCACCTTGTTTGACAGACTCTCAGATGTATCAGAGATTGTCATAACTTGTCCTTGTTGGGGAAAAAGAGAAGTTAGTTGAGATGGGCTGGTGTCACGGTTGTTACAGGTTGATCCCATTTCAATCCAGGTGGTGTTGATGAAGCCAGTAGAGGTGGTGATGATGTCTGGGTCCCTCTCTCTGGCTCGGTCTGGTCAGGGAATCTCTCAGGATTAGGACAAAGACAGTGGGGAGACAGTGAGGGTGGCAGCCATGATGGTGAAACTTGCTAATTTTAATCCTCTAAAGTCTCTTTCTTTAAGGACCCACAAAAAGAGCGATGGGTGGAATAGCCCATCCCCTCATTATTTTGTCCACCCGTTAGGCCTAGTTTCCAACACACCAATTTGGGTTAAGTTCTGGTTCCACTTTTCTTGTTTATGAGGCATGATATTAACACAGTTCTTGAGGTATCAGGCAACCTTTTGGTTTGGACTCATTCAGTCTGTCTCCTGTCTGTACCTTTTCCCTTCATCCCGCCCCTTCTCTGCCCCCTCCTCCGAGGCTCCCCACCCGCTGCTTGCTCCTCTCCACTCCCTTCTGGAACAGGGGGGTCGCCATGGGGCGATGGCCCCATCACTTTTTCCTGCCTTTAGCAAACGACAGGGGGAGGTGGGTAAGACAGAGAGGAGCAAGTGGAGGGTAGGGGGAGGTCTTGGGGGAAGAGGCGGAGTGGTGGCGGGAAGAGACGGAGAGGGGGCGGGGTCTCAGGGGAAGGGGTGGAGCAAAGCACAGGCAAGGCCATGGTCCGGGCACTGGTGGGCCCCCCTTCGCCTTCTATGGAGCTTCACTTCCGGTACTCTAAAGGCAGCGGTGGTCTGGGGTGCCTCTGGAGGGGAGCCCGCCACATCCACAGCCTTTCCCTCCTGCATGGCTGGACTTTTGGGGAGAGAGGCTTAGCCTTCCCTGGCCTCTTCAACGCGCCGCCCATGAGGGGCGGGTTAGTAGAGAATCAGTGCAAGGGAGAGGTTGTTGAGGAAAACAGTAATAGAAACAGTTCTGTAGGCTAGCTTGCAGCGGGCGAAGGTGTTTTGTCCTGCACACTAATTCTTTACCTCTCCAGAAATCATTCCAATCACTGTTTATTCAGTAGAGCTGGTGGAGAGGGGGAAGTATATTTCACAAGTAACTTCCAAAAAAGTGCGTGCGTCTTTTCTGAAGTTTTCAATGGAAAAACTTTATTCCCAGGTCAGGGAAGCAAAGAACACTCTGACTTTACATTACCACCCCATCCCCCTGCGCCCTCCCCCAGGGGGGTGAAGTGAGCTGGGGAAATGTTGTATTTTTCTGACCAAAACTAAACAAACTCACCCCTTTTGATTTTTTTCAAAAAATGTTTGAACAAAAACTGAAATCTTGTGAAAACTTCTAATTTTGTTAATCACAAAAATGTAAAAAACAAACAAACAAACAAAAAAACCCAAAACAACAAAAAAAAAACCCACCCACCCAAACCCTGCTTTGTTGGAAAACATTTTGATTAGCTCTAATGGTCAAAGAAAGATCTTCTCAGATGAGATTTGCAAAGAGACAGAGGGACACAGGGAGGGAGAGAAATATATAGGCAGATGCTTGACCATTAGGCATGTAAACTGATGGTTGCTCGGTTTCTATGGGGCCTCTTTTTTCCTTGTGCTCATCTCTTGCCATTCTTGTGCTGCCTTCCAACGTTCTCTCGCCCTCTCTGCTCCCCTTCCTGTTCTTGCTTTGCGCTTTCTAGTCGTACACCCCCGGCTGAGCCAGGCAAGCAGGCGGCCAAGTGAAAGCTGTTAGGATCTTGGCATATCCATGCTTCAAAACAGGATTATAATAACCCTCACTTGCCTGTTGCTGCCTAGAACATGGCAGGAGCAGCATAGATGGGCTTTTGCCAGTTAGAAAAAGCCTTTGGTAGGGTCACTAGCACTCATTAGCAAAAAACCAAACAATCTTCCCCCCATGGGTGTGTGTGTGTGTGTGTGTGTGTGTCTTTTTGTCCAAATCTAATGACTTTGCAGTGTCTCATAAGCCTCCCACTAATTATGACTAAGGCTGCGTGTCTGTCACGGAAGTCACAGATTCCATGCCTTTCTGTGACCTCCGTGACTTCTGCAGTAGCTGGCTCAGGGGCTGCTCAAGCCAAGCAGCCCCTAGGCCAGCAGCAGTTTGGGTGTGGGAGGGGGCTCAGAGCTGGAGCAGAGGGTTGGGGTGCAGGGCAGCACTTACATCGGTGGGGGTCTCCCCAGCTCCCACCGGCATGTCCTTGCAGCTCCCTAGGTGGAGGGGCCAAAGGACTTGCCAGCGCCCGCAGGCACCGCTCCCAAAGCTCCCATTGGCTGTGGTTCCCAGCCAATGGGAGCTGTGGAGCCAGCACTTGTGGCAGGAGCAGCGTGCGGAGCCCCCCAGTCGCCCCTTCCCCTAGGAGCTGCAGGAACAGGGTGGTCGGAGCCAGGTGGGGAGCTTGCCAGCCCTGCTGTCCAGCCTTCCTCCCCCAGCACCAGCAGGGGTCCCAGGTCATGCGCCGCCACCCGGCCCCCTCCACCTCAGCACCAGCAGGGGTCCCGGGCTGCATGCCTCCGCCCGTCCTCCCCCCCCTCAGCACCAGCAAGGGTCCCAGGCCGCCCGCCGCAGCCCGCCCCCCCTCACCCCAACCAGCGCCAATAGGGGTCCCGCCCCCCTCCCCCCCGAGCACCTGCGGCTCCCCGGCCCAAGTTTTAGTTAAGGGTATATAGTAAAAGTCATGGACAGGTCACGGGCCATGAATTTTTGTTTACTGCCCATGACCTGTCCATGACTTTTACTAAAAATACCTGAGACTAAAACTTAGCCTTACCTGTGATTTATATTTCTTGTCTTCACTGCAGTTAACTCTAGTTCCATCTGTCACAATTCAGGGTAACTGCACCTGTATCCCCCCTCCAGGGTCCAGCCAGGACACTCACTCTCAGGCTTCTGGCTCCC